CGGCCGCTGGGTTTTGTCTGCTCTCTGCCCCGGGAGTCTCTATCGATCTGAGACAACAGACATGAAAGACATGGGGAGCGAGGGAGAAGGGCAGACAGGTGGAAGGAGAGAGACAGGAAGCAGAAATAGAAAAGAAGGTAATTTCCAGCCATAAACTAGTTTCTCATATCTGACCTGCAGCTGATCGATAGCTTCTTCTGCGAGAAAACACACTGACTGCCTGGCTGACTTCTTGCTATCACTTCCTCCTGGGTACTATGGAGGCATATTCCTTCAAAACAAATAATATGTGCTATAGCTGATTACACCCTGGACACAAGGTTTTGCCTGTAAAAAATACAATTCACAATCTGCCTGAAGCCAGCCTGAACAATTCAAATATTAGCCTCAACTTATTAACTGGACAAGTCTGACTTGCCCTGAGATATAAGCTAGCAGCAAAGGTCTCTTAGCCAGTCATCATTCTAAGAACAAATCTTTGGTGAATTAATGACTTTTCCTTTCGCACATGTCCACAGAAAAATATCAAAATTGACACATTCTTGCTCCCTGGAGGACAAGCCCTTTACATTTTGGACACTTCATTAAAAATTCCCCTTGCACCACTGTCGAAATGTCTCACAACACTCTTCACAACGTATTTCATTACTCACTATAAAGGTATAAGAGTTTATTCATGCATCAACAGGTTACAGTAACATAATCACCACTTACTCCACAGGTCTTTCCTCTAGTGCCGACTACAGTCCAGGTAAGACTCCTGGAATAGCAAAATAACTGCTATTTCATTTCATTCCACATGGTGTCATGCACATTGTAGTCTATAGGGGCTGCTGGCACTGCTTTAGATTTCTTTAGATGTTGTTTTTGTGAGGTGTGTTTTTTTACGGGAAAAATGGTCACCAAACAGAACTTCTACAACATTTGTATTTGTGTTTAAAGCCTCTGTTGCATCAATGTTAATGAAATAACCCTTGTGCATTTTCTAACTACAGGTGCCTGTGGGGGGACTCCCGCTAACTCCTTGCATCAGCTCACATATCAGTGTGAGTTGCAGTCCCTTCACTATTAGATGAATCCTTCAGTAAGAGTTTGTGTCTTCTTCTGGCTACACATGTCGTCAGAAACAATACCTAGAGGCTGATAAAATGCCAACCTTGCACCTCCAAGCGATGTTTCGCTTTTACTTAATTTGCTTTCTTTTTGTTCCTTGTCTCCCCTTTTCTGGAAAATAATATGTTGTTTGTTCAACAGGGTGAGGAAGGATCAGGATGCAGAGAAAGCTGCCTTTACAGGTAACCGATAGGGCTGCTGTTAGTAGGGGCAGAGGGTGAGATTCACATAGAGAATTTAAAGAAAAATAAACAGCAAGTAAGGTCTAACAATAACATTCCTCTTCTCTATCTGTCCAGAAGATGACCTATTGATTTCTCAGTTTCTCCAGTCCAAGCATCATTGTGTTTGTTTGTATCTGCGTAATCTACTGTCTTTTTGGGTAATCCCTTTTGCCCAAAGCTTCTTTGTGTGTATTTGTATGTACGTGTGTAATAAATGTATTTCTCAGTGTGTGATAAGAGACTGTGGACGATCCAGCTCAGTGCCCGAGGTAGAGTTTATCACTGCCTCTAAATCTGAATAACACACAGGAGATTCACCGCACATAACCTGACTGTCTATCTGTAACCTGCTTGCCTGTTCTCTTTCGTTTTCTTTTCAAGTCTCATAACATTGTTAACATTGGAGTGTCTGTTCAGGGACCTTTTAATTTGAATCAGCAGGTTAACAGAAAACAAACATAATGTTTGTTTTCTGTTGGTATGATTTATTAGCTTCCGCATTTAATCTCTGTACCATAGAGCTCTCCAATGCCTCAAGAAAGACCTTCATTCAATGTCATACATTTTAAAGTATTTTTCTAACCTGCTTTACTGCTTTTTTTCCCCCCTCAAATGTATTAATTTTTTCAGCTACAGCTCTTTAGCTGAAAGCATTCATACAGGGTCAGACTTTGAAGTGGCCCTTGAATAACACATGAACAAAACATGATTAATCTGTCATTATCTCCGCCAGATGTAGGCCTGAAGAGGATTATGCATTTGGTTGGGTGTGTGTGTCTGTGTGAGTATCTGTCTGCGGCTCAGGCAGATAGATAGATAGATGGGTGGGTGGGTAGGTAGGTAGGTAGGTAGGTAGGTAGGTGGGTAGGTTGGTAGGTAGGTGGGTGGGTGGGTGTTTAGGTAGCTAGGTAGGTAATGGTTTGTGGGCACACAACAACAGCAGGTAGAGAACATTACAAAATAAATATAATAACAGAGACAAATGCAAAAATACACACTGTGTGGTAACAGTCAGTTATGGTTATGTGCTTCAGTACAGCCTCCGTCACTTCTACTCATTTTAGGCTACTATTTAAAACTCTGACTGAAACAGGCACAAAGGTTTACACCGCTCATCAGCTCTTTATCGTCCGCCTGATAAACAGCTCATACTGGGAGAAGACAATGTGAGTTGGATCACAGACGATTTTCTTTACCTGTTTAAGGACGCACTGGTCATATAGGAGGAGGAAGAGGAGCAGTGATCTGATCAGTAGTGATCAACTGCTTCATGTTCATGCTAGGGACAACGTACATTGCAGTCACGTTAGGTTGGCATTTTACACTTTGACAATGACATTTTATCATTTAATTTTTCTGGTTTTTGTCTACACTGACTCTGATAATGTAACCTGCATATTGCCTCCCCATCATTCCACTACTCTCATGCATACACGCTAGATCGTGCCCCCTGTTCCCCACCCACATGCCCCCAAACACACCTGTCAGAGATAAGCACTCTCCTGAATGCACTCTTTTAGTTTTATTGGGATTTATATTCTGAATTTATATTAAGACCACTGGGCATTTGCCTGGTATGCCAGATGGGTAAACCAGTCCTGTAACCCTTTCTCAACAGTTTAGGTCATAGAATTGAAAGAGAGATAGTCGCTGTACACTCACTTTGGGCCTCACAGCAAAATCCAAAGAGAGATGAGTGGGTGTCCAGAGAAGAGAAATTGGATTGTGAAGACAGTGAGTATCAAAAGTAACAAGAGCTGTATTCTAACACTTTAAAGCTTAGATGGAGTGAAGAGCGAAACGAGAAAGGAAGCACTCAGAGTGTCAAAGAAAGAAATAAAAGAAGAGGAGGAGAGCTCAAGAGATGTAGTGTAATGATCTAAGAGGAAGCAGGATAGGTAGAGTTGGGATAAGTGGTCTCTATTGACTGGCAGGAGATTGACAGTTGCAGGAGAGAGTAACGGAGAGTGGACAGGCAATATAGAGAGAAATGAGTAGTAGGCAACAGTGGAATGACAAAAGCAGAGAGTGACAGAGAAAGGATTGCTTATGGAAGGAAGAAACACTGGATGGAGGGATGAAAGTGTAGAGTCAGATGAATGAAGCAAGGGCTGGATTCCTGAGGTTTGTGTTTGGAAAAGGGCAACGTGCTACAATTCCACTTCTGCCTGAGGAAGAATGATATTTAGGAGGTGAAAGCAGATAATGTTTAGCTGTTGGGATCCTGATCTTTCTTTTCTCTGTGCCAGACCTGTGGAAATGAAGAACGCTCTGAAATGTTATCTGTCTGTGCTTGCCAAAAGGGTTGTTACACACACACACACACACACACACATACACACACATACACAAATACACATACACAGACTGGCTTGTGATTTAAGTAGAAATGTCAGCTTGGACAGCCAGCCAGATAATGTTGTTATTTGTCTTCTTCTCAGTTCCAATATTTTACCTTGACTCCAACGGCTGAATGACGTGACATTCTCGAACTATAACCATGAAATACGGTCGGTTCATGCCAGTGTGTATGCGGCTATGCATATCTGTGCGAGGTGCAAGGGAGATTTCTGAGACATAATCTGCTTTTGCAGAAATTAAAGTAATTATAGAGAGAAATAATTAATTACAGATTAACGGAAGGACAGCAGTGTACCCCCTCCTACTCGCACATCCTTGTGGAATATTACTGTAATACATTGGTTGTACAATTGGTTTGTCATTTGCTTCTAGGTTTGTTACAACCTTCACAAAGAGATAGCAAAAGAAAGACCTCGCTAGTCACATGCAAAACCTCTTTACAAAGAGAGAAGGATTAAATATGAGAAAGGTTAGTGGTATTCTGATCATCTATCTATCTGTCTGTGTGTGTGTGTGTGTGTGTGTGTGTGTGTGTGTGTGTGTGTGTGTGTGTGTGTGTGTGTTTCATTAGACAGTCCATTTCTGGTAAACATGCAAGTGCAGGTCAAATTGTTGGAAATGCAAGTGCTGCCACAGTTTTCAAAATATTGATCTCCAGAGTTGCAGTGAGATTGAAAGAAGGAGGAAAGGAAGGAATACTAAACCAAGGAGAGCAGGGTGTGAACAAGAGTTGAGTGTGAAAAAACAACAGAATCAGAGAAGGAAGGAGGGATGTTTGGTACTCAGCACTGAGAAGGTTGTTGGAATGGGTGTAAAGAATAAATCATCTAACCTCTTTGATTCTGGTTTACTCTGTAAGAATTAGATGAATGGGAGTCAGTCTCAGGGTTGTTGGAAAAGCCACATAGATCAGTCAGGTTGAGTGACAGCTGTCACCCATATTGGAATGGACATTTTTATTATTTATGCAGCTAAAAAAACCCAAATAGATTACATGACAGACTTTTGCTCACGTTTTGCAACCTTGCTGGCTCGATGTATGTACGCTTGCACCTGAAAATGACCAGTCCTAAGCAGTATTTCTGCATAGTTTCATGTTATGTATTTGTTGACTGTAGTTACAGTCAAACAGAGAATCAGTTGTGATTTTTACCACATCTAACACACAAGGGTTTTTAATTTTGTTCTATTCGAACAAAGTAGTAGTACTTGTTTCCTTCTTTCACTCCTCTCACTTTTACCTTCTTCTAGTCTCCCTGCCTTGCTTCTGTCCTCCTTTGTGTGTTCTCTTTTCAGCAGTATTCGTCATTGTTTGTTTGCTGACAAATATGGCAAGGAGACTGACCAGGAACCAAGGCCTATTATATGCAGCCCAACCTGGAAAGGTTTGCCTTTTCTTTTTTTTTTTTGGCTACATTGTTTCCTGTTTGTCTGGCTGTCTTTCAGAGTTAGCACTTTAATCCAGTTGGACTGCTGTGTGATTGTCTTCACTTTGTATGGAGACAGGCTGCAGTGCTTCTCTTTAATATTGAAATCTGGGGAACATCACAGTAACAAGTGCATTTTCTGAGAGACACAACGCCTACACCAGCGAAGTCGGGGTTTATATGTAATGATTAGCTGCAGAACAATGGGACTATTAAAACTTTTGATTATCTTGCTGTCTTTATGACTCATGCTTTTTCTTGTGTAGTTTGACAAAAAAGTACTTTATTATTGGTGTTCAGTGACCTTTTCAAGTTGATTTATTTTATTTATTTTTTACATCTTCCAAATTTCTTTGCACAAAGAAAATATCTTCGTCTCAGCCACCTCCTCCGCCAATTATATATAACATACAGTTTAGCAGTACCAGAAACGTGTTTGTGTGTGTTTGCACCAACACTGCCAACAGCAGCAGCAGCTGTCTCCACTGCCAAAGGTCTCAGATATGAGATGATGCCCATGATAGCTATTTCTCTCCTTCAACTCCTTTAAGCCTCACTCCAGCAACCTGTTTCATGTGGAGACACATAAAATCATAAAAATAGGAAAAAAGATCTAAAAGCTCAGATTCAGTCCTCAAACACTAAAGACTTGCATCAAGTGACAGCAGGCAATTTTGAATCTGTAAGTAAAATGACCCTTTTTAGAGTGTTTCAATGCTGCCTATGATAATTCATCTTATTAGTGCCATTATCATGAGCATGTTAAGTCCCCCTCTAATGTTATTATCTCTCAAGATTGTCAATAATACAAAGAAATCTTATAATTGTCTTTGACCTTTTTCAAAATCTTAGCAAAGCTGCGTCCCTCCAAAGAGACAAGCACATAAAAGGAAACAGCAGAAAATGCTCTTATCTCTTGGCTTTAAAAAAGAGGACACATAAAAGCAGTAGCACACTTCTGTTCTTACTTTTTTACTTTTTTTAAAACCCATTTGTAAGGAGGAACATTTACTAACTTGCTAAGCAGATACACTGATTTCATGCATAATTCTATTCCTTTTTATAGACCTTTTTTTTTTTTTTTTTTTTTTAGTTAATGTCAGAACTTTCAGCACAGGTTAAGATAGGGAGTAATGGTAAACCAAAATTTGCAATTAAATTTATCAGCCGTCACCAGCGGAGAAGCCACTGGAATCGTGTGTGTGCCTTTTCTCTTTGCAGTTTACTTTGAATTGGACTGCTCTCAGTAGGGTGTGATTGCAGGGGTGCCTTGGGCTGCGGTTACAGCCAACGTGTTAATGAGAACAGCATAATGTGAAGAGTTTCTGTTTTTATAAATGTGAATGAATTGTGGTGACGTGTTGAACCTAATGGTCCACACACATACACACACACACACACACACACACACACACACACACACACACACTCTCTTCATTCAAGTGACCCTGATGTGGTTTGCCCCATCTGTCACACTGAGTTGTGTATGAGTGTGACTTCTTGCCTCAGGGAAACTGGTGGGTGGTTCAGACACGCAGTTGCAGCTAAGCATGAAAGCTGGTGTGAGTGGAAGATAGACTGCATGATCTCTGCTTACTTTAATGACTCTGTCTTGCATGATTAGTATATTTAAAGATACCTGCAGAGCATATTCCACTATCTTCAGTTTACATTTTCTGCCTTTGACGAACACCTTCTCTGGACTACTAAGTAGGTACGTTTGAAAATTTAATCTAGCTTGCTGACTCTGGCAGCAGTGAGGGATACTTCGAGAGGTGTCAGTAGGAGGTAGACACATTAACTTTGTTCTGGACCACATTTATTCAAGATGATGACTATTTACCCAGCCTTGGAATGACAAGATTTGATGCCTGTGGTGGAGGAAATGCTCACAAAGTTGGTAAAACTACAAGTAAAAGTCCTGTATTCAAACTTCTGCTTCAATTAGTAAAATATTATATATTATATATTATCAGTTTGTTTAATGTATTGAAAATGCATCATATTATATACCTAATGATCACATAAGATATATAATACATATTTCTAAATATTACATCTGAATCTGCAAAGCTGTCAAATAAATGAAGTAAAATCAATAGAACAATGTTTGTAGAGCAAACTCCGTGCTCAGTTAATGGATTTGTCAGTCCACAGAAAATCAAATAGCAACTATTTTAATAACCAAATACCAAACCTTTACTGGGTGCAGCTGTTGAAATTTTATGGTTTATGGTTTTCTTTGTCTTGTGTGATGGGAAACCTTTCCTTTTGCACTGTCGGCTGGAGAAAACAAAGTAGTAAAAGTATACAGTACAGTAGCATAAAACAGAAATACTCAAAGTGCAAATACCTCAAGACTGTACGAGTGCCATACTTGAATAAATGTACTTAGTTGCTTTGTATCACTGTTAAGCACTAGAACGTGGTGTGCCACACAACCAGTGACCACCAGGCTGCTATAGTTACAGACCATTTGATTCAACACCTCTCTTAACAAAAAACTAAACAAAACTAATCATTATAAGCCTCATCAAGGTGCTCTTTCATTGCAGGGCTATTGGGTTGCATTGTATTATACTGTAGGCTACACGTGTCCTTTAGTACTGTAGCTACATGGAGTTAATTCCTGAATAATAAAACAGTTTCAGCACCATGGACAGAGCTCATCAGTCTGTGGACCTCTTGGCTAAAGACCTGGCTACATTCATAATTCATCTCACTATTGTGCCGACATGGGTAGACTAGAGGTTTTTTAAAGTTTTGTCACACCAAAGCATCGAATTTGATAAAAGTTTAAACTTCCCATTTGACAAGATGTACCATGTGCACTTAGATATTAATGGGGCAGTGAAATACTGTTAATCCTGTAGGTCGGAGGAGATAAAAGTGATGAATGAAAGAAGCAGATGGCCAAAACAGCTATAGTTAATGGTGTTTAATTGTAATTAAAAGATGATTTCATTCAGCAGCTCAAAATGGTCTCTCGACCAGATTAATTCCTAGAATCAAACAGCTTGCAAATATGTTGCTGTAACCACAGTGGAATCTTCTTCCCCAACCTTTAACACCTGGAAATCTCTATACAAACTGAGTCACTATTCTCATGTGGCTGCACTGCTCCATCTGTTGTAGTGTGAATGAATGACACACTGATCACGAAAGAGAGAGAGAAATGGGAAGAGAGGTGGTGGTGGAGCCACACAGAGAGAAAATACATACTGTAAATATGACTATATATATATTTATAATATTAACTGTGTCACGGAGTAAAATATTGACTTGTCAAGTAGATTTTAAAATACATTTTCATTTTCATTTCATCTCTTTTTATAATGGTTCTTCATTACATTTAATCATTAAACTAAACAAACTACCTATTAACCTAATCTTATCATGTAATTGGAGATTTATTGAGACAATTTGTTTTAATTTTAATGTAGTAGCCTATAAAGTATTATGGAATAGGACAGAGGTTCCCAAATTTTTACACATCAAAGACCCCTAAACTGAGGAAAACCATATCTTATCTGACAGGATTTTTACTTTTAGATGTTTTATTACAGAAAAATGTATGAAACCCATGACCAAAATAGTCCTATATTAGGTCATTGTGTTACTTACAGATGGATTTATACTGAAAATAAATGATTCCCCTTTTTGCTGTGGACCTCCTGGAACCCTCTCAAAGACCCCAGGGGTTCCCCCGGCTTACAAAACCACTGCTCTAGGATAGCAGCGTAATGTAGTTAGAGAACAGCATGGGTGGTAACAACACTTATTGTAATAGTTATAGTAAAGGAGCCTGAAAGGAACTTACCGGAGGATGGCGGGGAAGTGGACACTACTCTTATCTCATTTAAGAGAGCCGCAGACTCATTATGAGGAAGAGAGCAATTCATAAGAGCAAGTTGTCAGCATTGTTTTGGCTTTCGCTAATACGAAAGTAGAGAAGGTCAAAGTAAGCTAATGCTAGCTAATTGCTCTTAACGTGGTGTAATTGAATGAAACCTCAGCTTTGCCCTCCTGATAGATATTACTGACGGTTCTAGAACATTGTGTCATAAAGACATAAGTTGCATTCTGTTCCGTCACTTCATTCTAGAACTTTACTTCTGCAGTCAGACAGCGTTCTCTCCACATCAGTCTCTCTAGGTCTGTGTAGTTTAAGTCAATAACTTTTGTCCCACTTTTTGTCTTTTTGCTAACTAGCCACTTCCAGAAGACGCTCTCTCTGCTACCGGTCCTGTCTCTCTTGCTGAGGAGAGAAATGACGGGTTAAGAACAGCAAGGACAGATCCTGCAACAGATCCAGAGACGTGAGTTTCAAAAACAAAATGCTTAAGTAGGAGTAGGGATAATAGCAATGGTAAAATCACTTTGTTTAATTCAGCTTATTATTGATTCACAATATAGCGTCCCTGTCCAACTGGAATTGAAGTCTACTACTGTATAGTATATACTCATCATTTAGTCCTTTATCTCCTGAACAGTTTGTGGAAGAAGTGCACCATGTCTTCCAGTTTGGATTAATTAAATGTTCTTTCTTTAGTAGGCTAGGTTTCATCAGCACAAGTTTGATTTAAAGAAGCGTTATGTAAAGACAAATTGCAGTAATTTGGTTTTGTATGATCGTTAAGCCCAAAACTCGTAAGCACAGTGTTAACAGCAGAGCAGCCATGCCAACCATTAAAGCTCCTATCTAGGGTTACTGTGTGTACACTCTCACTCCCTCCTCCTATCACTGATGAACCACCTCTTCCCTCACCTTCAGTTAGTTTGTATATATGTTTATAGCTGGCACATATTGTGCATGCAAGGTACACATTGCACAAGAGAAAGTTTCAAAAATCTTTTTCAAAATCAGTAAATCAAAAAAAAAATATGCCCAGCCAATCATTTTATCCTGAATATCTGACCAGGAAGATATTGCTAAAGCTACCGAGCAAGTTGCACAAGAGTGGCAGAGAAAGACCAGCCAAAATGTGAAGTTCCACCTGTTTAACAGTTTGCACCGCTAAAAAAAGTAACACAAAAAAAACTATGTACAAATGACACATTAGATAGTTGAATACGATTAGCAAAGAGAACGACGCACTGTGCTCTGCTAGTTACAATTGTCAATATGTCACTCCAGAAATCTTTGAGATTCTATATTATTGATTACTTATTCAAGTCTTATTATATTATAATTATTAAAATATTTTTTCCCTTTTATCGTCACCATTATTTCCTCATTGTCTAGTGCTAATAAATGTTGGATAGAATATTTAGAAGTGGCCCAGCCACTTAGACTGTATATAAAGATCTTTAAATTTTAAAATCTTTATATACGGTGAGGTAAACTCGGCGTACTGACCCAGTAAACTCGGTAATGTCAAGTACAGCTTTCAGGTAGGGAGAGTCTTGTTATGGCTGCCCACTGTGCTGTTGGCAGCAGAGTGAAATGGGTCAATCTGTCACAGCTCATGCAAGAGCCTAAAAATAGGTAGCATGTCCCCACCCGGAGCAGCTGCTACTGCTCTCGGCTGAACTTTTTTGTGCAATGTAATTATAAATGTTCCTCTGCGAGAGAAGCGTGTTTTTGGTTATTTTAGATAGGAGATACTCCAGAAATATGTGCTGCAGTTGTGATTACTGTGCAGTATCTGTCTTCAAATGTGCACTTCTGAGAAACCAGATTTTTGGACCAAATGGACCGCAGTCTTCTCTCACCTTCTGCTTTTTCAGCATCTTTTGTTAGATTCTCTGTGTGGAAATAGTAACAGGAGGCTTGTGGTTGCTGAACAAGTACGACTGATTTGATCCTCAAGAGGTGGAAAAGCTCTTTTGTTGTTGTTCCTACCTACGTGTCTTCCACCGCTAGTCCTTTTACCTCCTCTTCTCTCACTTTGTCTTCTTGTGCTGATTTCTCAGTTTTTAAAGTCATAATTCAACATTTATGACAAGAAACAAGATTCTGCACATATTTGTGTATTATATCTGCGAACAGTGCACCTGAAGTTGGGGTTTTCTTGCTGTTTCAATAAGTGCATACTCTTTGCTGAATCTCATCTTTTATCTTCTATTTTACAAACTTTTGACTTTATCTGGCCCCTCAGATCTCCTGGGGTTTTTTCTGTCTTCAGATTCTCCTCTAGAGCAAAGCCAGATCGTCCCTCTGGGCTGCACAACCGGCCAGTCAGAATATACACACAGAAACACACACACACACCTTCTCCCACTCATTGGGCTCTTCAGTTGTTACCGGCCAGTAAAGAGGCCTTGGCTCGGCATCTAATGTGTCATTCTTTGTTATCTATTTCCTGTTACTTACCTCTTTCCCCTCTTTCCTCATCTCATCTCTTCTTCCTCCTCCTTCACCCTCTAAATCTCACAGCTCTTCCCCTGCTAGTTTCATGCTTCACTAATCACTGATGAGTCATATAGCCCTGTTTTTTTCTCTTGTGCTCTTCCTCCGTCTCTCTCTACTCGTTTCTCCCGATGACTCTGTCTCTCTACCTGCTTTTCTCTTTCTCTGTTGTCAACCTCAGTCTCTCTCCATCTTTTTAATCTCATTCTGTACCTCCTTTTGTTCTGCTTCCCACGATTCCTTCTTTCTCTTTCGCTACTGTGCCGACTGTGATAAGTGAGTACAATTCTCTGGTGCCTGGAAGGAGAAAGAGAGTAAGAGAAGGGAAAACTATCTAAAACCATCTGGGCAGTTTCAAAGGTGTGTTTCTGTGCTGTAATATCTTTCTTGAGCAGACCAGTGGATGAGCCTCTTATCTGAACACACAGACACACACACACACACAGTCAGTTAACCACCCTGAGGTTCCTGGGGTGAAAAATTTTGGAGTCAGCCATACGTAATTAGAAGAATTACCTAGCCTCAGACCTTGATTAGAGCCTTGATTTAATGTGTGTGTGTGTGTGTGTGTAAACCTACCTGGAACCCTAGAGGAGACAGAATAAGGAGAATTTTAAAGCATATTTAAATGATGCCAAACCTCTTGGTATTGCCAAGTGTAGACCTAAATGTGTGTGAGAGTTTAAGGTTTATACTCAGCAATGCCCCTGTAGACTGGAGCTACTGTAGAATCACTCACTAGCACACACCCCTTCTAAAGCAGTAAGTGCTTTTCAAAATTAGGCAGGTTTTCAGACTGTAGAGGACCAATTTAGTAGGCTTCATACTATGCATACTTTAATCAGTTAATTACTCATTGGCCAATGAGCTTAATAAATTAACTGATGATCTCTACAAAGAGTAAATCTCTCGTGTAATTAACTTTTTTTGTAAAGCTGTTACCTCAAGACATTATGTTTTTAAAAAATAAAGGTACTGAAAAACAGCATTGTGTAGGAACCAGTATCAGAGTCAGTAAACCGGTATTGGTACCAGTATCAAACAGCTTTGGGCAAACCTAGCCTTGCCATTAGCTGTTATGAATTATTGTCATATTGTCAGTATAGTGTTATTATCATTGTATCTCCCTGCTGTTTACCAGCACTCATCTGCAGTATTTCAGTACAATGGACAGCTCCACGTCTCCAGTCTGGATACAGAATAGTTTGACAGACTGATGGTTGGTGTTTGCTTCAGCACTGACACATTCAATGACTATTCATAGAGGAGCTCGTGAAAAATACTGGCACTGCTTTTTCATTTTTACTATTAACCTGTTAGAAACACTTTCAGCAAAACACAGCCACTGTCAGTGCGTTTGTTGATATCAGTATTAATATCCACTCACTGCTCACCCCAGTCTTTTTAATCAGAGTTAATGGCCTCTCCCCCTCTTAGATGGCACTCTATGATGTGGTAACATCTGGCCGGACGTCATGTTTCTGGCTGACCTTCCAGACCTCTGTGTTTGTGTTTGTGTGTTGTGTGTGTGTGTGTGTGTGTGTGTGTGTGTGTGTGTGTGTGTGTGTGTGTGTGTGTGTGTGTGTGTGTGTGTGTGTGTGTGTGTGTGTGTGTGTGAGAGAGAGAGAGAGGAAAGAGAGGGAGAGTTGTTGATAACTGATCTGGATCTCAAACAGATGGTGTTTGATCCCCTGGCTGTATAAACTGTTTGATGTCACTAATATAGGAATGTATCAAAGAGAAGTCACAGTTTAAAGGTCATTAAATGTCAAAAATATGTGGCCCTGCTTGGAGGTATTGCATTCATCATGAATCTATTTAATTTTGCTGAATAAAAGGGGGTTTGAAATTGACCAGTAAATGTGCTTAAAGGGATGGATTCACCATTTTTGATCTAATTGAAACTGGTTTTGATTGCTGATATCAGCCCTCCTGTTCATATTGGCCATTAAGGGATCCCTTCCTGATTTGCTTTTGATGGGGGAAAAAATCCACAGTCCTCATTCTGTGATAAAATATGTTCCAGAGTTTATCTGAAGTTAATATCAGGCTCAATCAAGTGAGTATCGTCCAAAGGTCCAGGCCTTTCAGTAGGAATTTCCCTCTTTGTGTTTCCCCAGACAGTCTTTCCTTGGTGAGCTGGGGTGGAGGGAAGGTAATAGGAGTGGGATTTTTGGACTAAAAGGACAATAACTTTGGAAGATTTCCACTTAATTTAAGTGACAGACTGTTGAAGCCTCATATTAGCATCAGATAAGATACTGAACACAACAAAATTGCTCCTGATGCTATGCCATTGGTGTGTGAATGAATTAGTGTCTGTTCTGATGAGCCTTCAGTGTATGAATGGATGAATGTGGCATGTAGTATAAAGCAAGACTAGAAGACTAGAAATGCACTATATAAGCGCAAGAGGAATGATTACAACAAGCAAAATCTGTGGCAATGTTCATTTGGGAACCTGTTATAAGACAGACTTGAAAAATTGTGAACCCGTCCTTAAATGTAGGTAATGAGGTATCATTTGCTGTTAACCTTGACTCTGAATAAAGTCTAAGGAGGCTTTGTAATAAAGAAAACTCCTTGTTGAGGTTAATTTTCCTGTGGTAGATGTGAAAAGCAGCTTCAGAACATTTGCGGTTAATATAAAGATTATAGAAGCCGTGATCAGGAGCGTGTTTAAGTTATAGTAAGAACATAGTTTTGATATTTTGTACTATAATTTTGTGTGTATCCCATTATCCCATGTGTTTATGTATGTGGAAATGCACAGTTTCGAGAGTTGCTGCTTGTGTGGAGTTATGTTAGAAAATGTATTGAGTTTGTGTATTTGCTGCGTAGTTCTGCATGTTCTGCATGTGTGTTGTTCATTCTTCTCATCTATGATGATCTCTGATAGTGACAGGGCAGGATGAGGGAATTCATGGATTCAGACTTAAAGGAACTAATCCAGTGTGTGTGTGTGTG